TATATATATATTTAGCCCAAAATGTTGTTGTCTGTGTTCCATTTAAATTTCCCTTCACTATCTGTCCTGGAGACCCATCAGCAAGTGATGTCACATCAGCCCCATTGGGAGATGTCACCAGAACAATGGGTGAGGGCACAATTGAAATTATGAATTTCATATCACTTTTTGTCCCAGTAACAATAATCACCAGGACAAATAGAGAAGGTTCATCTACCAAGCAAGGCCACAGCAAAAAAAAAATCCTAACCAGATTTCTGATCCTTCCCCACGTTATCCTAAAACATGTTTGGGCTTTTGAAACTTTAAACTGTAAGTAAAGCTGGCCCTACACTTTGGGATGTTTCTTGATTATCCAATTCACACTAAAGAGCTTGGACGGAGGAATATTCCAATCTGGCTATTGTATTCTGCACCTGTTAGAATATGTGAACAGTGACATCAGTCCGAAAATGTGACTTTTATTGAGCCAGGTGGTGCTGACAGGGCCATCCATGGATCATTTTGTCTGATTCAGCATGAAACAGCCAGAATTCGGTATGGCCAGCTTTGCTTACAATCTTTCTCTTTACCAATAATACTACTATCTCACCTAGAGTTCAGAAAATTCGAGTTACTTCTTTAAAATTAGGACAACCTGTTTATTCAAGCATCAAAGCATGGAAAGATTGAATAAACAGGTTATTTTAATTGTTTAAATGTGCCCTGGAATTTTTCTGCATTTACATGTTGGGAGGATGTTTGAACCAATGAACCTGGTCAGCATCTTGTATCCTACCACTACCAGCAGTGAAATTAATTTGTGTAATTTGGTGTACAGCCGGGATTGCTCCCCTTTACAGAGTGGTCTAGCAGTTGGAACACTAAAACAAACAGCTTTCTTGTAGCCAATAACTGATAACACACATTAAGTTTTACAATAATTACAGGTCACCTCAAAGAAGACTATAATGGAACAGGTTTTTCATTACTGAAAGTTAACTTTTTAAAAGCACTCTGCCAAGAACATTCTCTTAGATGTTGATGTATAGAGATCTGAGTATTGCAACACATTGCCAGGCAATGTTTACAGCCTGCTATTGGTGCTTTTTGTTTTCCTATCTCATGCATGCATCGCCCATAGCATATAATGGGCCACCTTCAGAGTACTAAATAACTGTAAGTAATCATGAATGTTTGGTAGCTTTGTGGTAATTAGTAGTTTTAAATTGAAAACCCTTACAACTATGTTTTTATTGGTTGTGTTCAGTTCCCTTGTAAAAAATCCCCATATTGTCAGTAATTGTGTTCTCTGTGTTTGATAACGATGCCCAGTGTTGCGTTTGTGCAATGTGTGCACTACTGGAAGAGCAATTTAAAGTGACATTAAAGTCAAATCCTTTTTTTTGCCCCTTCCCAATCATGCTGTAGGGACTTACCTTAAATGATAGACACCTTTTACTTGTTGCACTCCTTACCGAAAGTCCCTTGTAATGGGGTGGGTGCTCTCCGTGACTGCCGATGGCGCCGCAAACATCAGCAATAAATAGAAATGTCACCAGCACACCAAATGCTTTTAGGATAGCAAAATGTTCATTTATTTGCAGTTCCTTGTCAGAAAAACAAACGCTTTCAGGACCGTGCAGGGTCAATGCTAAGCCTAGGTTGACCTCAATGTTAAGCCTGATGAAGGGACCCTATGCAGTCCCGAAATCGCTTGTTTTTCTGACAAGGAACTGCAAATAAATTAACATTTTGCTATCCTAAAAGAATTTGATGTGCTGGTGACATTTCTATATATTACCTTAAATGATGCCTCTTGAGCCGATCATCTTCTTCCTTCAAGTAGTTTCCAGCAGTCCATCCAGCGCTGGTGCAGGTCTCTGATCCAGCACAGACTCCTCATGTGACACAAAGTCTGTCCAGCGTGTACACTCACGGCTGCGTGCATTGACTTCTATTGCGTCGGCCCAGATCGTCCTGCACGGCGGTTCGGGTAAGCTGAATGCTGCAGACTGGAGCGAGTGGCAGAAAAAGTATTTACCTCTTTGGTAACTTTTTTTTAAATGTTTTTTTTGTTGTATATATCTGCTGCTTGCTAGCAGTGGATATATGTAAAGAAAAATAAGACTTTTATTCTACTTTAGGGATAATTGCTGATCTGAGCAAAGTTCCAGTCCCTCAGTGAGCTTTCTGCAACACTTCCAAGTATGAACAACTTGGAGAAGTGCTTGTTGCTCACTGATCAAGTACCTGTTGAACCAGTATAAGGTCAGTATAAAAAGGTAGCTAACTAGGTGACAGAAGAAAAGGTAGGGGAAAATGTGTAAGAAAGACTAGTTTTGAACTGGCACATGATAATGATTTTAAAGCTCAGCTCAGGGCAGATATAAAAGGCACAAACAATGCAGATCTCTGTATTCAACATACATCATGAAATGTATCTTAAAAGAAAGCAGTGTACCTAAATTTGATATCGACCTCTTGAAGTCCCTGTTCCGCAAAGCTCAGACTCAGACAAGGAGAAGCAGTAAAAGGATCCAATCAGGTTTGTTGCAGTACTCATGTGCTAACAAGGAGGATGCTGATAGGAGGGGGAAGCAGAATGACTGACAGAGATGACCTTCTCTTTCTGCTTCTCTGTTTACAGTGCAGTCGTAGGCTTGGAGAGGGACAAGACCTGTTTGTTTTACCTAACTGCAGGAGAGAAAAATCAGGTCGCCTGGCAGACAGGGCTCTGGTGTAAAGGAGCTCTGTGTAAATCTCACAACTGGATGGACAGATAGATATACAAATCTTTTGGCAGGTCAAATGTCTGCAATATATGTATTTTATCTATGTAGCTGTTTGCTTGGAGTTGGGCTATAAAGAATAAGGATATACATTTAGGGACAGCGGGAACTTAGTTGGTGCAGTAAGGGAAGGCTTTGGGCTTTTTAGAAAATAGGTTAGCTTCTCAGTTGGTACTAGGCTGAATCCTAAAGTGTATGTATAGCCAAAACTTGCTTTTCAGTTTTGCAAAGATTAATGTAGAGTTAGAACCTCTGTCAAGTCTTCATTGCTGTCTGAATCCCAATTATTTAGATTCAGCCGCTTTATTTGTCCTGGGGAAAATTAGGGAAATACACATTTTAAAGATGTCACCAGAACAAAAAGTAAGTTTCAATAGGAACACTTTTTCTAATGACAAGTGGGGATTACCCCTCACCTTGTAGAGATTTCCTCTTGTTTCCTGTTGTATCTCTGGAATGAGAAGTGAAGAAAAAACACCCTAGTGGGACAGCAAATAATAAACCAACCGTTCTCTATTCTATCCAAAACTAAAAACAAAATAGTTTGGCCTTTACATACATACACTTTAAAAGCCATGGTGCAGATGTGATAAAAGAGAGGGGACGGGTAGAAAGTTTGAAAAGATTTTAAACCAGCATTACAGAAAGAAGTTGGGAGATGAGATAGAAGCAGGAAGTGGGAGTTAGCAGAGATTAATGAGGAATACAGTAGGTGGTGTGGTTAGCAAGAAAATTAGGGAGATGATTAAAACCACATATGCTATTAAAAAAAATCAAAATATAAAAAGTATGTTAGCAAAACTTGAAGGTTCTATAAAGTTATATAAATTAGAAAGGGAAAATGGCTGGAAATACACAACCTATTATATTAAATTGCTGTATTTTAAAGTGTGAAATATGATAATGCATC